TCAATCAAGTTATACTGAGTAAAACATTGCTTTTCTGGACCTTCAGGATAAAAGTAAAACCAGAGAAACTAGGTAGTTCTCAGGAAGAGGCGTGACAGAAATAGAAACGTGTTCGTAAATCAGAGGATGGTTGTTAAACACATTTCAGAATTAAAAATCAAAACCTCTTGCAATCTTACTAAAAGCAATTAATATTTAAGAAATCTTTGTTGACTGGGTGCAGTGGCTCTCACGCCTGTAATTCCAGCACTTTGGGAGGCCGAGACGGGCGGATCATGAGGTCAGGAGATCAAGACCATCCTGGCTAACACGGTGAAACCCCGTCTCTACTAAAAAATACAAAAAACCAGCCGGGCGGGCAGTGGGTAGCGGGTGCCTGTAGTCCCAGCTACTCGGGAGGCTGAGGCAGGAGAAAGGCATAAACCCGGGAGGCGGAGCTTGCAGTGAACTGAGATCCAGCCACTGCACTCCAGCCTGGGCAACAGAGTGAGACTCCGTCTCAAAAAAAAAAAAAAAAAAAAGAAAAAAGAAAAAAGAAAAAGAAAAAGAAAAGAAGCCTTTGTTGTTTTAACATAGGGGACCAAATTTTTAAACTTTGTATCAGTGTATTTTAACATCAAAGTTTATTCTTTGGAAAGACTGTCACAAATAATTTCTTTTAATTATAGCCAGCTTAATCACACCCAGAATTTCCTTCACAAGTTCCCATTCATGAACCTTATCATGATTTACTCAGACCATCTATGGATTACTGAGACACTCTACCTCACTCTATATGTCCTCTTTCTTCTTAAGTAAGCAATCATGTCACTCTAGGAAAAAGATTTACCATGCAAGACTTTCTCATACAAAATTATTCTCTTATCTTTACATCTATAACTTTTCTTACATCTCTTACTCTCTCTCTCTTATTTACAGTTCCTTTCTATCTTGTTTCTATTTCCTTCCTAAATCCAAATTTTGACACTCCCTTTAAATAACCCTTGACTTAGAAAAAAATATTTTTCTCAATAAAAGACATTTTTTTCCACTTATAATTTTTTTCTCTTATTAAACACACCTGACTTTGGTATATTTTATATACAGAATTATATATCAACTGGAATTTTTAGCTTCTAGTAACCTTAAATTTTATTAAAAACATAGGAAGTACAAAATCTTGAATTGCCTGTTACATATCATTATTTAATAGATAAGAACCATTTTATTTTTAATATTTTTCAATTTTTTAATGTTTGTTTTAGAGACAGGGTCTTGCTCTTTTCCCCAGGCTCGAGTGCAGTGTCATGATCATGGCTCACTGCACCCTCAAACTGTTGGGCTCAAGCAATCCTCTCACCTCAGCCTCCCAGGTAGCTGAAACTCTAAGTGTGTGTCACCATACCTGGCTAATTATTTTATTTTTTGTAGAGATGTAGTCTTGCCTTGTTACCTAGGGTGGTCTCAAACTTCTGGCCTCAAGCAATCCTCCCATCTTAGCCTCCCAAAGTGCTGAGATTATAGGCATGAGCCACCATGCTTGGCCAAGAGCCATTTTATAATTGTCAGAAAAAGATATTTCCCTATAACATATTTTTATGCATATTTAATCTTTCTATTAGTCTTTCTAGTCTTTCTATTAAATTTAAGAAACCAAGGACAACTCTATTTATGTTCAGCAGTTTGTTTCAGTTTTTATCACATTTGAAAATGACTTGTACATTTAATGAGTATCTATTATTTAATTTAGGATTTCAAATTACATAAAAATTTATTTATAGCTATTTATCCCATTTACCTTTATTTCTTTGTTTTTAGCAGTGTGCTGAGATTACTTATGAAAACAGGTAATAGACAAAGCTAGTCATCATTCCAAATTATTTATCTATTAATTATTTTATATAACTGCATGTCAGGCAAACATTATAAAAGTAATGACCTTAAAGTCCAATAATTCAGAGGACACAGGCATTCCCATCAATTCGACAATCTTGAACTCTTCCCATTTGCCAAAAAATTTCTAAGTCACATGAACTTGAAAAGTGCCTGGTCTTATTTGCTTGATTTATGAGTACTCATCTATTTGTAAGTCAATTTGGTATCATAGACAAATACAGCCAGACTTGTACATGCAGCCAGATACAAATAATGATCATGTAGCTTTAATTTTTAAAACTTTAGCCATATGTCAGGCATAACTCACTAGTTGAAAGGGGCAGTTAGATTCAAACTTCATCACTGTCAAACTAACATTTTTAGTTTAAATTTTTCTGTTCCATGTAGCTGAAGCCCCTTACTGAATTTCAGAGAAACCAGAGTAGCAAAGTAGTCAGGTGGACCGGCAGGAAGAGAGGAGCTAGTGGAAGAAGTTTAGCTTTAGAGTAAATTAGAAAGCTCGTAAGTCTCTTTTCTACATTAGTTATTACCCAACGTTCCTAGATCATAGAGGATCCCCAGTCCCATTATTTTTAATCCTATCAGAAACTGTGGTATCTGGTGGGCTGATTGATGGGCAGCTTCTTCCTCCACCTGCCCAGGATGGTTAGGGCGTTCCCATTTCCAATGGTCCTCTTGTTTACAATATGCACATCGTGGCCTCCAGACTGTATGGCCATTTTGGCCAGCAGTGGGGTCCCTAGGGGTCTTACCCATGGCATTTGTTTTTCCTAGCATGCTCCATCTTGTGCCTCAACTGGTTGTGGGCAAGAGCCACAGCAAGCAGCATAGCTTGTTGTCTCATGTTGCATTGCTTTTGCCCTTCCTGCACTTGAACAAGATGAATTAAATGCCTTAAAGGCAATCTCGACTACTTGAGATATTGATATTCCCAACACCTTTTCTACTTTTTGTAGTTTTCCTCTTATACCAGGGGCACTCTGACTGATAAAACTCTTAGGTTACCTGGGTGTTCGGGTCAATGTTACTGTATTGCCCGAAGGCTTTAAAGACCACAAGAAAGGAAGAAGCATTTTCTTTGGCCACTGTTGTACCTTTATGCCTTGTTCTGCTGAAGTCCTGCTACAATTACATTCCTCATTTTGCTTGGAGGTTTATCTCAGATGGTTAGAGCAATGCCTTGCACTAGACAGAGATATATATATTTTGGGTCTGTAATGTGGTACTTATGGAGATTCCTTCGCAGTGAATCACCAATGGGTTGGGTATCCCCTAGTCACCTAGGAGTACCTAAAAGGGCTGGAAGGAGCAATGTAGTCCCTCAATTAAATAATTTTCTAATTAGGCTGTTTCTGTACTATCAAAATGTTAACCACTGTTTAAGCCAAATATTACTGCTTATATCAGAATACAAACAGAAACAGAAACAGCCAATCAAACAAGACAAACCACAGCATTTTGGACTCTGAGTTTGATCCCCTCAATGGGAGCAAATAGACAAGGCTCAAACTTGTCCCTGTAAGCTTCAGACATCTTTAATCCATTCTGGATGGGGAAGGTTGATCTCCAGCCCATAATCAAGCAAATAATTTGCTCAGTCTAGTTGATTGTAGTAGACAGCAACCCTGAGTCAGGCCTCCTTGGCTGCCACTGGCAGCTTCTTCAGGGTTTGCTGAGTGGTCTTAACAACATTAAACAAGTGACTAGACAAACCCAAAACTTAACACATACGCATATACACATCCAAGTTCCAAGTTCCCAGTCAAGTTCCTAGTCAAATTTATAATCAAGAGTACCACGTGAACATACCCCTTATTCTCCTTTCAATTAAAGTTGAAATCCCCTAACAAAGCCCCCTTGTGGAGGTTGACAAGGCCCCCTAGTGGAAGTTGATAAGAAAGGAGCTGAGAGTTGGTCACTTGTACAGAGATTAATTCACCACAAAATAAAAATAAAAATAATGAAAAAATGTGTTCCAAAATTCAAAACTTCTCTTTGCTGCAAAAATGAAAGTAAAAGCACCAAAAGTCAGCAGGGCCATGCTGGAGAGACAGGAACCAAGAGCAAATCACTGAGTAAAACACCTGGACAGCTGCTCAGACCCTCAGGTGGATCCCATCCCTAATATGGAGCTAGTGAGCCACAGGCAAAAATCTCCTGAAAGGATTTAGAGAAGTCTGATCTGGGTCACCAACTTTGTTGTTGAACTAAACTGGGTCCATTTGCCCATGCACAATGGAAAGCCAAACACTGAAGAACCAAGTTTTTGCAGCAAGAAAGGTTTATTGTGAGTGAACTGGCAAGGAGACAGATCTCAAATCTGTCTCCCCAAGCTGAGGATTGGGGCAGGTTTTATAGTCTGAGGGTAATGAGGCATGATCCTAATTGGATCTTGCCATAGGATGATGTCAGGAGGTATGCTCTGATTGGATCCTTCCCTGGTGTGATACCAGGGCTATCTGATTGGATCCTGCAGCCCGCCATGCAATGTATGCTTCTTAATTTTAGTGCATGTTCCTTGTTCTGGACACTTAGCTTCTACCTGTGGTTGCATGCTTGGTTTATCTTGGCGTGTTCGTGGCCTTCAATCTGGGTGTCCATGGCAACTGAAGAGCTTTGTTATGTTAAAGTTGAACCAGATTGATCTGATGTGTTTACACAACCTATAAATATATTTCTAATTACATTGAATTTAAAGCAAACTTTTTATTCTAAGCAGTGTTGTTCTTATACAGATGTGAATATATGTCATATCCCAGAGAAGCAGAGATACTATTCCCCAGTACATCTCCTTGTAGGCATAAAATCAGATCTAAAATACAAAGGTTATGGAAGAAAAAGATAAATGTTTGTGAGATCAGGTGACAGATTCACTGTCTTCACATAATCCAATATTATCATCACTCCATGATTATTGAGATATATTTAACTCTATACTATGCTACTTTTAATTTTTTGTTGTTCTTTCTAGTGATCTTAATATTAAATTTGAGAAGCACATTTTTTAAGTGCTCTTTGTTACTTCTTACTTTGGTTTATAGTTTGGTCTTCTCACATCATTTAAATAATATTTGTATAGGGATAAAGGAAGTGCAGTTTTGCTGATTTTTTTTTTTTACTTGTAGAATTTCAAGAACCCTATGCTGTCGTAGTACTTCTGGAGAAAGATCTCATTGTAGTTGATCTGACACAAAGCAAGTAAGTTATCCATGTACAGATTAACACTTTTAAACTCTATTTATTTTAGATAATTGGCATTTGTATTCTTTAGATAGGAAATATTCTTTGTGTGAATATTGGTTTGCTAGAATTACAGAAATGCACTTTGGTTCAATGGTGAAAACGAAACCAGGAGAATTTGGGAAACACTGAGAAAACTGTAAGACAACTTAAAGGCAGCACCTGATGTTTGGACAGAAACATTGAAGACTCAGGACACATAAAATTGATCACATTTTTGTTGTTTCCTTAAACAAAATCAATCATTATGAAAACTTGTGCAATGTGATAGCTGAGTAATGGAAAATGACACATGATAAAAGTATTGTTGCACTACTGCAGCAGACAACACAGAACACCAGAATCTCAGGGGCAGAGAAGACTGGGGCCTTCTTTTACTTTTTTCCTTTTTCATTATGTTACAGGCAATTGAAAAAAGTGTAGAATACTGCTATTATAGTGGTGCTCTCCACTCCTTTACATTGTCAGTAAAAATCTTCTCTCCATTTTTATTATAATGGTAATAGCATGAAACTAATTTCCATCATTTTATTTTCTTCCACTGATTTTTTAGCCTCATATATTTGTAATACAATTTTGTAAGTTGTCTCTCCTTGGCCTGGAATAACTTTCTCTTCAATTTTTCTCTTTACCAACATCTTATCTGTAAGATTCTCAAGTCAGATATCACTTCCCTATTTTTTTAAAAAATTAATTATCTGTATAATTTGGTAACATATCCTAATATGGGCTCTCATAACCCCCACATTTCTCTCTTCATAGCTTTTGACACAGATACAATTTTCTATTTGCTGTTGCTTAAAGATTGTCTTCCCGCTAGGCTGTAGACTCCATGAAGGAGGGGCTCTGTCTCCACATGGAGTCAGATCTCAATAAATTTTTGTTGAATAAATCAATCCGAATTCTACTCTTCAAGTTGTTTGTAAATGTAAGATCCAGGGTTCTTCCTCATACTAATTTGCAGATATTATTCTCAGGATTTTAAAAGGGATGCAGGATTTGGGCCATGAAATCATCATAACTGGGAATTCTGCTTAGCTGCCCTAATTATCAACATAAGACTTTTTGTGTAGATGTAAGGATTTATGCTTATTCCTCTAAGAAGTTCTAATATGAGTCTTATTAAAATATACTCTTCTAATCTCATTGGTATTCAACTCTTCTTTGTATATCATATTTGTTGGTTACTCATACTTTGCCTAAGTATCTAACATCCTTGCAGGCCCATTATACTTTACCTTTCATGGCCACTTTCTTCAGTGTGTGTATGTGTGTGTGTGTGTATATATATATTATATATATATAAAAATTATATATATATACTATATATATATATTCTTTCATTTAAATTTTATTTTATTGTGACAGAATATGCATAACATAAAAGTTACCATTTTATGTATACATACATTCTTGTGGTTTTCATTACCCTATATAAGTATGTGAATTAACATTTTGTTTGCAAGTTTTCTCTAACATTTTACCTTTTTTAGCATGTATTAAAATCTCTGTGGCATTCCCACTTCATTGGCTGTTACATGGAATTTAACATGTCAAAAACTGAGTATGTTCTTTTTCCCTCCAAATGGTTACCTCTCAGCTATATTGAATGTTAAACAAGTTATAACTTTGGAATCCTTTTCATTTTTTTTTTCTTTTTATCTTTTTCTCTCCATTTAATCCCCAACCCAAAGGCAAGCATTAGGGTTTAGAAATTATTTCTATTCTTGATTTCTTGGATTCATATCTTCATTTCTATTTTCACAGCAACCAGTTTATACTTTTATGTCTAAATTCCTCTTGTAAATTTTTAGCTACTTCTCTTTTTAATATCTTTTTGCCTACTCTTTGCCAATGTACTAAAATAATTTTTCTCAAAAAATTTCATAATATTTAACTTTGTCAGGAGCCTATTATTGTTACCTCTTGCTATTATCAAATTCTAAATTGTAGGCCTTGTCTTCAAGGGGATCCATTTATCTTCTAACTCTTTAATCTTAGAAATGTTAATAATTTGTACTCTGAAACAGAGAATCTCTGATATATCTAGTTTAACCTCTGGTACCTCTAGTTTAACCTACTTGTCACTTAAAGAGACATGAATTGTTCCTTTAACCTGATTTTGCATATATAACTATTCTTATTTGGGATACTATGTGCAACATTTCAGATTGGTAGAAAGAGAACTGCTGCCAGAACACACACACATACACATACACATACACACACACACACACACACACACACACACACACCCCATATTTTCTGGAGATTGGACTAAACTCCTAATTTTTTAATTAAGTTCCTAATAATATGAGAAAAAACTGTTTTCTAACAGGCACTTCCTACCCTAAAAAAACACATAGTTTCAGAAGTTATATGATGACACCTGGAACAGATATGGCATAGAATAATACTAATTTCCTCCTTGCGCAGTGCCTGGTACATACGATGTTCTAAATAGCTACAGGGATTTTAAATTTGATTTCATACTCATTTCCTTTTTAAGGTTATAGTAAGCTTGAGGATATGAAAGTTATTACATCCATAAGTCTTCATTCCAACTATGTTCTCTAGTTTACATAGGAAATGATCTTTTGGATATACACAGTCACATACACACAAATCTACATATGACATACATCTTTTCATTATTCCTGCAAAAAATTTAAAAGTTTCCTATCTATTCCGTCTTTGTCTTAGTCCCTTTTATATTGTTATGAAGGAATACTCAAGGCTAGATAATTTATAAAGAAAAATGATATTTTGGTTCACAATTCTGATGTCTAGAAAGTCCAAGTTTGAGTGTCTGCATCTGTTGAGGGTCTCAGGCTGTTTCTACTCATTGCAGAAAGTGAAGGGAAGTCAGAATGTGCAGAAATCACATGGTGAGAAAGAAAGCAAGAGAGAGAGGGGACAGGTTTCAGGCTTTTTTAAACAACCAGCTCTCGTAGGAACTAAGAGTGGGAACTCGTCCCTGAGGGAAGGCATTAATCTATTCAAGAGGAATCTGACCCTGTGAAGGTGAAAAACATCCCAATCATAGCATTCTTCTCCTGAATCCCCAAAACTCATGTCCTCACATATAAGATACAATCATTCCTTTCCAATGGTCTCAAAGTCTTAATTCATTTTAACATCCATTCAAAAGTTTGAAGTATTATAAAATATGAAACAAGTTCTTTACTTCCAAGGTAACAATGGTTGTATAGGTGTTGGGTAAACATTTCCATTCCAGTAGGAAGGCGTAACAAGTCTTATGCAGCTTTAAAACACAGCAGAGTAGACATTAAATCTTAAAGCTCCAAAATAATCTTCTTTGACTCCATGTCCTGCATCCTGGAAACACTGGTGCAAGGAGTGGTCTCCCAAGGCCTTGGCAGTCCTGTCCCCATGTTTTTACTGCACACAGTCCATGTGGCTGCTTTCGTATGTTGGAGTTGAATGCCTGAGGCTTTTCCAGACTGAGGTTGCACACTGCTGGTAGCTCTGCCTATGTGACAGGTTTCAGCATGGGCACCCAGGCTTTTTGATATATCCTCTGATATCTAGGGGGCAGCTGCCAAGCCTCCATGGCTCTTGTGTTCTGGGTGCCCGCAGACTTAACACCATGTGGATTCACAAGGCTTATGGCTTGTGCCCTCTGGAGCAGCAACCACAGCAGCAACTGGGTCCATTTGAGCCATAGTGGGAGCTGGAGTTGTAGGAATGCAAGGAACAGCGACCCAAAGGGGCACAGGGCAATGGTGCCCTGGTCCTGTCCTCCAAAACCATTCTGTTCTCCTAGGCTCCTGGGACTGTGATGGGATGGGTGGCCTCAAAGATTTCTGAAATACCTTTTGTCCATTGTCTTGACTATTAATACCTTGCTCCCTTACTGGTCATGCTAATCTCTTTAGCAAGTAGTTGCTTAGATTCCCCTCCTGAAAACACTCTTTTCTTTACTACCACATGGCCAGGCTGCAAATTTTTCAAATGTTAATGCTCTGCTTCTCTTTTAATTATAGATTCTTCCGTTAGGTGATTCCATTGTGGACATAATTTAGTGTAAGCTGTTAAAAGTAACAATGCCACTTCTTGAGCACTTTGCTGCTTAGAATTTTTTTCTGCCAGATACTCAAGGTCATCACTCTTAAGGTTAGCCTTCCACAATGCAGCCAAATTCTTTGCTGCAGTGCCACAATGCAGCCAGGTTCTTTGCTGCAGTGCAACAATGGGGATATTTGCTCCAGTTCCCAATAAGTTCCTAATTTCTGTCTGAGACCTCATTAGCATGGCCTTTTCTACCCATATTTCTGTCAGTATTTTGGTCACAACTACTTAACCAATTTCTAAGAAGTTCCAAACTTTCCCTCATCTTTTTATCTTCTGAGCTCTCCAAACTCTTCCAACTTCTACCCGTCACTCATTTCTAAAGTGCTTCCACAATTTCAGGTATCTTTATAGCAACACCCCGTTCCTCAGTACTAATTTTCTGTCTTAGTCTGTTTTGTGTTGCTATAAAGGAACATCTGAAGCTAGTAATTTAAAAAAAAAAAAAGTTTATTTTGTTTACAAGATTGGGCATCTGTATGTGGTGAGAACCTCAGCTGTTTTCACTCATGGCAAAAGGTGAAGGGGAGCTGAGCTGGTGTGTGCAGAGGTTACGTGATGAAAGAAGAAACAAGCAAGAAGGAGGAGACTCCAGGCTCTTTTTAACAACCAGCTCTCACAGGAACGAAAAGGGAGAACTCATTCACCTCCTAGACAGGACATTAATCAATTCATGAGGGATCTGCCCCATAAGCCAAACACCTGTCATTAGGCTCCACCTCCAACACTGGGGACTAAATTTCAAGATGAGATTTGGAGGGGACAAACAAACGTCCAAACCATAGCACCCCCACTGAAAGAAAGTCAAAATTTATTTATATTTTAATATTTGTAAGGATACGAAATAAATATTTACCATTGTATGTAGGTAAAGTTCTTAGTTTATTTTTAGTGAATTAACTAAGTAAACTTGTTATATAATAGTTTCAGATTAATAGAATTCATTGTATCTATATTAGCAAAGCAATGCCACTGTGGAATGTTAGAATTATGAGAAGTAAATTTTGAGCTTGAGTAAAATTTTACTAGCATTAACATTACATTTTATAAATTACTGTTACAAAAAGATCATTTTTGTTCATACAATTCTTGTTTTATGGTACTTAAAAAACAAGTGAAATTTATAGTAAACGTTTAGAGACATTTTAGGCCTTACTTTATCAAAATTATTTTCTATTTTTTCTTTGTAAAATAACACTGATATATTGTCTTTATCTATTAGTTTTCCAATCTTTGAAAATCCATATCCCATGGACATTCATGAATCACCAGTTACATGCACAGCATACTTTGCAGATTGTCCTCCGGATTTGATTCTAGTACTGTATTCCATAGGAGTCAAGCATAAAAAACAAGGATACAGTAATAAGGTAAAAGTAGAAATTATAAATAACTTTTCTTGTATTCATATCACATGATCATACTTTTTCCCATTACCTTATTTTCTTACATTCCATATAGGAGGACTTGAACTAAATTATTTCTAATTTAAAAACCAACATCTATTAAAGACGTAACTTCTTAAATTCAAACTTTCTAAATGCTACTTAGCTTTAAGCCTACAGAGGTATAATTTCTTATATAGAAGGTATATAATTATATACTGATATACTTATTATGTGCATTTATATACTAAGCATGTACTTATATTAATATATATTTGAATCATAAGATATAAGCTTTATTTTAGATGAAAACTTATGTTTTAAGAAAACAAAAAGACTCAAGTCTTCCTAGTTAATAATTAATTAATGGTTTAGGAAACATAATTATTAAAAGTCATTTGTTAAATAACATTCTAGAATTTTTTATTATAGTTTACTACAAGATTCAACTATTTATAATTATAACAGATTATCTATTATGATTTCTGTTATTTTCCCAGGGCTGTTGGGATGGACAACTTCAAGAGACACTATTTACATAGCTTCTATGTTAAATGGCACCACAGTAGTTTGGTGGTACACAGACTATATGAGACTATATGACACATGTAGCAACACTGTATTTGTACAATTAAAAATACTTCTTTGATTTGTTTATATAAATGGTAAGATTGACTAAAATCTATATTTTAAGGGAGATGGAATTGTGCATTTAGACGTGTTTGTTCAATGAAAAAATTAAAAGACAGCTACACACTTCATTCTTGATTATTTTACAGTTAGTTTGTTTAAGTGAACTTTTTATCATTATTTTAAGCTATTTTCATTTTAAATTTCTAAGCCATTTGAACATATATATATACTTTCTGGATAATCTATTTAGGAGTGGCCAATCAGTGGAGGAGCTTGGAACCTTGGAGCACAAACGTATCCAGAAATTATTATTACTGGGTAAGTAGATGTGTTTTGTAAGTTATTAATTCATCAACATAAAGATGTTTACTGAGTCTTGATACTTTTCCATAATTGTGTTCTATGCAGAATAATAGTTTAAGTAAAAGTAAAGATATAAGAAATTGCTTCTACCCAAAGATTCTTATCTTGACAGAGGATATAATCAAACTATTGGAAACATAATAACAAAAAAGAAAGCATAGATTATATCACCAGGAGAAAGTCAAAGTGGGGAAGTCATGAGATATTAGTCTTCACTGGAAATCACAGAATATTAGCTTTACAAAGGCGCTTACAAACACTTACCTATTTCTGCCAAATTCAGGAATCACTGCTCTATATCTGTACGAGGTGGTTATTTTAAATATTTCTCAAAACTTACAGCACCAGAAATAACACTTCTTTGTATGACAACCCACTTGATGTTTTAATATTAGAAACAAAAATAGAGACATAGCTAATGATAAATATGAGATTTAAAAGGTAATAAGCGTTCTGCTAATGGGAAGATAAATATACTTTTTCCTATTCTTCCCACTAAATGACTAAAAACTCTGGATATTATATATAAGATAAACATAAGATGACTACGAAATGTGAAGAAGCGTCAGACCAGGTAGGACCCCTAAGTCTTAAAGAATGACATGGAAGTCAGTTCCCTAAGTTTTCTTTCTGCCTCATATATCCCAGAATTAGAGCTAAAGAAGCTAGTAACCTAGAAATGTGAATGGACACAGATGAAAAATCCCAACAAAACCTAGCTCTCTTTAGCCATGAAATGAAGAAAGCAGCAGTATATCAAGACAGAAAACATTTAGAAAATAATCTCTCTACGTAGGTTTAACAACACACACACACACACACACACACACACACACACACACACACACCTTCCTCCCACACACACAACTGTGGCCCTCCCCAACTCACTCCAGTAAAGGCCAAGTGGAGAGCTTAGACTTTCACCCTTGTCAAGGTATAATGAGGTACCCCAGCTTCCCCAGAGTGTCAGATAAAGCAGAGTAGGGAGCTGGGGCTTTGAATCATGGGGTGAAACCCCTCTCTTGTGGTGTCAGTGGGGAGCTAGAATTCTCATCACTGCCCAGCAGTAATGAGTAGCTACCATTCCCTATCCCCTTCCCTGTGTCAACAGAAATAAATGAGGAAGGAGAGAAGAAAGGGTGGGACTGAAAAGTATTAAGGAAATAATGGCTGAAAACTTACCAAATTTAGCAAAACAACATGAACCTTCAGATTCCAGAAGCTGAGCAAACCCCAATAAATCTATACCAAGATAAATTATCATCAAACTTCTGAGCAGTAAATACTAAAAGAAAAAAATCTGGAAAGTCACAATAGAGAAATGACATCTAACCTATAGGGCCAAACCAGTTTGAATGACAGCAGATTTTTCATCAGAAAAATCTGCCTGCTAAAAGGAAAAGTGAGTATTTTTCAAGTACTGAAAGAAAAGAAATATCAATCCTGAATCCTATACCCAATGAAAATATCCTTCAAGAATTAAGGCAAAATAAAGATCAAAATCCATCATTTCCAGATGCAATAAACTAAGAGAATTTTTCAACACCAAATCTACCTTTAAAAAAGTAACTACAGGAAGTTCCCTACACAGAAAGGAAATGAGCCTTGGTTCATCAAGAAGGAAGAAATAATACAATAACAAAAGTATGGATAAATACAATAGGCTTTCCATCTCTTGAATTTTTAAATGTATATTTTATGGTTGAAGCAAAGATTATAGTAACAGTGTCTGATGTCACTATAATCACATTGACTGGTATGGTTCTAAATGTCTATAGAGGAGATATTTAACACAATTATAAATGGGAGAGGATAAAAAGATGTAAAGAAAGTTAAGGCTTTTGTATATCTTGAACTGGTAATAAGATGACACTGGTAGAATGTGGTAAGTTGTGATACAATGTAATACCTAAAAAAACTTTTAAAATTATGCAGAGGTGTACTTAAAAACACTACTGACACATCAAAATGGAAGCACTATAATATTTCAAGTAACAGGAAGGCAGAAAAAGAGGAAACAGGAAAAAAAGCAGAAAAAATTATATGGTTTACTGAAGCCCTAACATATCAATAATTATATTAAATATAAATGGTCTAAATACTTCCATGCAAATATGAAGATTGATAGAGTGGGTTAAAAACATGACCAGCTATATGTTATTTGCAATACATTCACTTCAAATATAACAGCATAGACAATTTGAGAGTAAAAAGACAGAAAAAAAAGTATGAAAAAGAATTAATTGAGAGTGACATCAGCAAGGTAACAGAATAGGAAGCCCTAGACTTTGTTCTCTACAGATACACTCACTTTACAACAATGTATGGTTCAAAAAGCCATTATGATAACTTCAGAAACCGTTTAGGAAGTCACAGTACCCCAGACAAGCTCAAAGCCAAGAATGGTCACACTGAAATGGGTAAGAAAAGTGTGGCATTTCAGAAACATCAGTCCTTTTTCTGAGCTGGCACAGCTCACAATTAGGAGGAAAAGTGCAACTCATGGCTTCACCTTTTTGAGGGAAAGAAAAGAGTGGAAGATATATGCAATGTTCTAGATTTTTAGTGGCTGCTCAAGGGACTAATTTCTGTATCATGTGATAGAGATCTGGCATACTCTGCATACCTGGGTGCCACTGAGAGCAAAATATATTTCAGTGGCTTGTAGCATCAGAGAACCTGCAGTATTTCAGACAGATACTAGGGGCAGCAAGATACTACAAGTTCCTGAAAAAGAAACTGGAAAACTTCACTAGTTAGGAATTACATGCACAAGCCCAGAGAAGATAAATTCCCATAAAAAGTTTGAGAGGCTCTTAGAATCTCTACCTGAACTGATTTATGAAAAATGTCCCCTGTACAAAGTCAGTCCATAAGGATGTGACTACTTTTTCATATTAAAGTCAACAAAAAGAAAGTATACAAAGAGACAGGGAAACATGGCCCAATCAGAGAGACAAAAAAAAAAAAAAAAAAAAATCCAGTAACTGATTTTAACCCTTTTCCTACTTGTCCCAACAATACTCACTGGTAGCACTTGCAGCTGTGACATTTATGCCAAGATAACTTTACCTCAAAATATCTCACTTTTATTATTATTGTCGTATCACTCTAGTATATTGACTTTGGAAATAAAAGACATCATTGTATTTACAGCATTCTGTTTTTAGTAGTGGTATTTCCATTTACAAAATATAGTAATTCTCCATCACTGAAAATGTCATATCCTAGAAAACACAGCATTACTACGTGTGAAGGTAACATCATTCTTGTACAGCTTTTGGCTGAGGATTCATTTGGTGAATCTATTTTTTCCGAAATAGACTATTCTGATGTTAGTTCTGTTCAGAAATAACTCCAGGAACAGTTTTCATGTTTTATTTTCACATTGAAAACCAGCCAGATTTTCTTCAGCCTCAAGAAGTGTATTTATGTAAAATTAAACGAGCACTGGAAGCAAGCTGTACTTTTTTATTCTAAATGGGAAAAGGGTTAAAGAAACAGAAATCTGTGTATTACCTGACAAAGAGTTCAAAATAATCATCTTAAAGAAACTCAATATATTAGAGAATACAAATAGAAAACTAAACAAAATGTGGGAAATGATGCATGAACAAAATAAGAATATCAACAGAGTTTGAAATTATTAAAAAGAAACAATTCTAGATCTGAAGAATACGGTAATTTATTTGAAAAATTCATTAGAGAGTCATCAACAACAGACTTGGCCAAGCAAAAGGAAGAATCAGTGAACTGGAAAATAGGTCACTTGAAATTACTGAGTCAGAGGAACAAAAAGAAGAGGGCCTAAGAGCCTTATGAACACATTCAAGTGGACTGATGTATACATTATGGGAATTTAAGAAGGGGTGGAGGGGGGGGGAGAGAGAGAGAGAGAGAGAGATAGTGAATGGAGCAGAGAGAATGGAGCAGGGAGCTTACTTGAAGAAATAATGGTCAAAATTTTCCCCAGTTGGAGGAAAGAAATGGAAATTCAAATTTAAGAAGCTTAAACAAGTCCAATAATATGAACCCAAAGAAGCTCATAAAGAGACACATTATAATCAAACTGTCAAAAATCAAAGACAAAAAGAAAATCTTGAAAGCATCAAGAAGAAAAATTCTTATCACATGCAAGGAAATCCCCATGAGATTGTCAGCAGGTTTTTCAGCAGAAGCATGGCAGACTAGAAGGGAGTGGGATAATATACTCAAAGTGCTGAAAGAAAAAAACCCCACCAACTTAGAATACTATATTTGGCATAACCCACTTCAAAAATGAAGGAGAAATAAGCCCTCCCTATATAAACAAAAACTGAAGGAATTCATCAACACTAGACATGTCTTACATAAATTGCTGAGAGTTCCTTCAGTTGAAACAAACACACTAGACAACAACACCAAAGCATACAAAAACTCAAAAGCTCTCTGGTAAAGTTAAATTTATAGACAAATATAGAATATTGTAATATTGTAAAGGTGGTGGATAAATCACTTTGATTTCTGGCATATAATTTAAATAAAAACAATTACTGTAAAACTATGATAATAGATGCAAAATATAAAAATATGTAATTTGTGACATCAATAACATAAAGAGAGGGTGAATGTAAAGGAGTAGATTTTTTTGTATGTAGTTAAAGTTGTTATAGTTTAAAATAGATTGGTATAACTAGAAGATGTTTTATGTAATCCTTATGGTAAACACAAAGAAAATACCTATAGAATATGCACAAAAGAAAATGAAAAAGGAATAAAAGTATGTCACTAAACAAAAAAATAAATGAAACCCAAAGGAAGCCAACAAGAGAAGAAAAGAAGGTCAAAATAACCACATATCATATAGAAAATAGTAAAATGGCATTAGTAAGTTCTTCTGTACCAATAATTATGGTAAATGTAAATGGATTAAACTCCCTAATCAAAAGACATAAAATGGCTTGATAGAAAAAAGT